GATTGACATGATTAGCAGGTATATTGAGAGAAACTCTGAAAGAGTCTTCTATCACTGAAAATGACAACTACTCGTGTATCCTTACTCCTTTCAGTCCATTTCAAAATCAATTCCTTAATTTTTTGTGCATCTTTGAAATGAATTTTTCTCTTCTTTGTATCATAGGTAAATAAATTAGAGGAACAGGCATCTAGTATGAGTGTGTGGTAGGAAAATTCTGATTCACTTCTATTCACATAGAGTGACATTTCCTTCTTAGTGGACTTGTCAAATTTTTCCTCACTGGTTGGGTAAATTAGAGATGAATTTCCATTATTTTCTCCTAGTGAAGCTTGAATATCCATGATAAATTTTTCATTCAATTTGATTTGTTCAATCAAATCAAAACTTAGAGTTTCAAAATGTTCACAGATGTAAAAGGTTTTTGCAATATCTATTTGGAGATCTCCATATTTTGGAATAAACGAAATACATTCAACAGAATAGTGTGGCTGTTCGGTTTTAATTTTTTCAACCAATGCTCCTCTAGCTTCAGTAAGAGACATGATTTGTTCATCATCAATTACTATATTCCTATTTTGTGAGAGCAAATTAAAAATCCTTTCAAACGTTTTCCTTCTATCCTTTTCAAAGCTAATCCTCTCAAATCCTTTAATTTCGTATTCTTGTTCAAAATAACCACTCTTTCCAAGATACGGACTTCCCAATAAAAATAAACATTGTCCTCTCACAATGGCCGATTGTTTCGAAGAAGAAGCCACAACTCTTCGGTTTGTCTGATTGGCCATCATACCGCTCCCCTGTTGATGATGAGACTCCGCATTGTTATTGTTGATCATTTTTTTCTTCTAGTTTTTTCTGTATTATTTTGTTGTTGTAGGACGTTACATTGTGATGCTTGAAGTGGAACGAACTTGGGAGTTTTTTTTTCTAGAAATTTTCGGAAAAGATAAGACCACGTTACAACATCTTTGATTTTCACTGTGCATATCGGATCAACAAATTTTAATATTAAAATAAGATTCGATACAAGTTTCTAATACAATTGTTTGAAAGGAAGAAAACTTCTTATCAGATCACAGCGAAAAAAGAGGATAGCTAATTGGAAGACAAGTGGAACTCGGATGTTCTTTCATTCAAAAAAAATAACTGAACATCAAGATACTGTTGTTGCCCTCTCAACACAAAGATATTTTTAATCGGCGATTGGAACATTGACAACATCACCATCATCCTCATTATTATTAACAGTGATATATTTTATTCTTCCGAAGAAATACTGCTACTCTCTCTTGTGAAAACTTCAAATTATTTTAATATAATCAGATCATAATAATGGTGAATCAATTTAATATTCACTCTATCAAATTGAAAAGTAGTGAAGCAATTAAAAGAGATGAACAACGTAATTTTAGTGAAGCACTGAAGCAATATGGTGCTTGTATGCTTTCACTTGGACAATTATTGAAGGAAGATAACTTGGCAGAGGAATTGAAATCAAATGCACAAACATTTAAACAAGTTTCTCAAGCTTTAAAGATTTGTAAAATGTGCTTTGAAAGAGTTTCCGATATTGTGGACAAGGAAATACCAAATTCTTCTTCAGGTGGCAATACTTTGACTCCTAATAATTCATTTGGTATTGGAGTTACCGGAAATTCAAATCTATCAACTTCAATGATTAATATACCAAGTAGTGGTTTCAATTCTTCATCTTCATCATCTTTACAACAAATACCAACCTCTATGAATTCATCCTTCCATTTCTCCAATAGATCTTCCATTACTTCAACAACAAGCAACACACCTAGTGATGTCAATTCATTGAGATCATCTATGACGTTCAATACACCTCCTCCAATCAGTAACAACATGCCATTCAGTAATGGCAGTACTAATCCATCAGCACCTTCGCTTCCATCAACAAACTTACAACCAAATATTTCCAATAATTCATCACCAACAATCTCGCCACAACTTTCAAACTCACCAATCATTCAATCAACACTTAGACAATCAACAAGCTCTTATGGAAGAGACTCTTTACAATCAGCAATTCAACCACCTTTAGGAACAATGTCTAATAGATCTTCTGTTCAACTTTCTGGACCTGTTATTGAGTTCCAACCTCCTCCAGGAGCAATCACTCCAAGAATTAATTCTCCTCTCGATTCGGC